TTAGAAAATGGCATCTTAACTCCAACCAGAGGTGGAGAAGCTAGTATTCATGAGTCTATTAAGCATGGAAACTCTAAGTAAAGCTTAACCTTTGTCCTACTCCCAGCCTCCCCAACCACACTACCAGTTTCACCTGATTTTAGCTGGTTCTTGAAGCTCCTCACCCAGAGTTATTTCATTATATGGAAATATAATCATTTCTTACTTCTCACACTATCTTACCCTACAGGAAAATAGGAAGGAAGTGGATAAGAGAGGGGGAGATGATAGAAGGGAGGGCAGATTGGGGACAGCATCAGAGGAGAAAACAGAATAAACAGGGTGTGGGATAGGATGGAGGCTTTCACAACATGACTATGAGGGAAGTATTTTGCATGACTACACATGTATAACCTATATCAAATTGCTTTTCTTCTCAATGAGGGTGGGTGGGGAGGAGGAAGGAGAATTTGGAACTCAAAGTTCTAAAAACAAATGTTAAAAATTGTTTTTACATGCAACTGGGAAGTCAGATATACAAGCAATGGATTATAGAAATCTATCTGCCCCTACAGGAGAATAGAAGGGAAAGGAGATAAGAGAAGGAGGAGGGTCATTGATAGAAGGGAGAGCCAATTGGGGGAAGGGGTACTCAGAATGCAAGCTGTCTTGGAATAGGGGAGGAGAGAGATGAGGAGAAAATTTGGAACTCAAAATCTTGTGGAGATGAATGTTGAAAACTAAAAATAAGTTAATTAATAAATATTTTAGGGGCAGCTAGGTGATGCAGTGGATAGAGCACCAGCCCTGGAGTCAGGAGGACCTGAGTTCAAATCTGGCTTAAGATCAAACACTTGACACTTACTAGCTGTGTGACCTCGGGCAAGTCACTTAACCCCAACTGCCAAAAAAATTAGAGGTTTGGGAGTGCTGGGACCCTGAGATCACAACACGTGGGCTCTGCCTTAATGAATTCAACCCGAATCTTCTTTCAGCCAGAGAAAAAGTTTATTAGAGATAAACCACATAGGCCAGGTGACTCCTGTAAGGATGAGTGGGCATGAGAAAGTCTCAGCATTTAAATGGGGGCCAGGGTGGATCTTATATACACTCACATAATTTGGGATGACCAGAGGAGGGGTTGGGAAGAGGGTCTGGGTGCTTTAGGGAGAATTAAGATTAGAATGTCTGCTTAGTTGAATAGACAATGGGAATAGATATTGAAGTTGGGATGGGAATGAGAGGTTTTAATAAGAATAGATAATGAAAGGAATTGGAAATCTGAAATTTGAAAGGCATCTGAATAAGATCAAAAGGTGGGACTAAGCTTTTCAAAGCAAGATGAGGACAGTCTAAAGAAAAGCCATTTAGTGGAATATAGCCTCAGGTAACTGTTTGAGACCAGAATGAGGTCAAAAAAAGTTAAGGGTTTTCTGGGGGCATGGACAAAAGGGAGCCAAATTCATTTTTGGGCAAGGGGCAAAGGTCTCGGCTTGGGCCCATACGGCATCAGATAGAGCACTGGGCATAGAATCAAGAAGACTCATCTTCATGATTTCAAATCTGGCCTCAGCCACTAGCTGTGTGATCCTGAGCAAGTTATTTATCTTTGTTGGCCTCAGTTTCCTCATCTGTAAAATGAACTGGAGAAGGAAATGGCAAACCACTCCAGTATCTCTACCAAGAAAACCCCAAATGAGATCTAGAAGAGTTGCTCATGAATGAAATGCTTGTGCAAAAGTTTCTATATCCCTTCTGAGCTTTCCCAGCTTCTAGAGCAGGAGTTGGGAACCTATAGCCTTTGGGTCCTTATTTGTCCTTTGTTGGCCTTGTCCCACAAAAGCTATCCAACAGTTGAGTACTTCTTGTTTCCCAAATGAAAGGGATTGCAAGGTGGGAGAGCTGCCCACGGAGAATAGTTGGAGATGTTGCATCCAGTGGGAAGAAGTTTTTCAATAAGCAGTTATTAAGTGCCTACTCTGTGTAGGGCACTGTGCTTAGTCGAGGTCATGCAAAAAGAACCAAAAAGCAGTGTCTGCCCGCAGGAAGCTCTCAGTCTAATGGGGATGACAACAAGCACACAAATATGTACACATAAGCGATAGACTGGCATACAGGATATAAATGAAAGAAGGAAGGTACTAGAATGAGGAGGAGTTGAGAAAGGCTTCCTATACTATAGCAGTTGGATTTTAGTTGAGACTTGAAGGAACCTAGAAGGCCAAAATGAGTAGGCAGAAAATTCCAGTCATTTTGGAGAGCCAGAGAAAATGCCCTGAGCCTAGAGATGGAATGTCTTCTTCCTGGCATAACAAGGAGACTAGTGTCGTTGGATTCCAGAGTAGATAACAGGAAGTAAGGTTTAAGAAGACTGAAAAAGTTGGTGATGTCTGGGTCATGAAGAGTTGTTAAAGTAAGATAAAAGGCAAGATCCTCAATCAGAGAGTTTGGGTAGTCGCTAGTCACTAAGCATTTATTAAGGCCCTAATCTGTGTTAAGGCCTGGGAATTCAAATAGAAAAGAAGAAAGACTGTCCTGTCCCCCTATCATTTACACTTTCAAGGGGAAGACAGCATACCAAAGGAAGAGATTTGGGGCCAAAGACCCCAGACTGTAGGACGTGGTGGGAAAGTCTGTCAGAAGTTCTAAAGGAGTGCAGCCAGGTACAAGATATGGAGCTATGGGAGCTGACTCCCTCCTTATGTGGGGGCTGGAGTACATGAGCTCATCCCAAGGTGGGGAAGAGAGAATGTGGAGGATGAAGAATAAAGAGATGTGGAAGTGCCTCTGTTAAGAACAAGATAGGGATGCAATAGATTACAGCTGTCCCTTCTACATCACAACTTTCTCCATTTCAGTTCCAATGTATAGCAGTTTGACATAAGAAATTAAATGGGAATTTCGTGGAAACCACAGATGACACACACAGAGCTATGACTAACCCTGAATCCAATTTTTAAGGTACTGTGAACACCCTTTAAAAGAAAATGAACAAGTTCACACTTCTTCTTTGGTACTAAAGGAAGGCCAAAACATTTTATGCAGATTTTCCAGATTGCCAGGGTGCTGCACCCCTAGCCTGGGTCTTATGGAAAGTGTAGCTATAATTGTAGATTGATGAAAGGATGATTTTTGGGCCAGTGATTGTTAAGAGTATGAATAAAGACAGTATGATAAAGAATGACTAAAGGGGGCAGTTAGGTGGCACAGTGGATAGAGCACCTGCCCTGAAGTCAGGAGGACCTGAGTTCAAATACAGCCTCAGACCAAACACTTGACACTTACTAGGTGTGTGGCCCTGGGCAAGTCACTTAACCCCAATTGCCTAAACAAAAAAAAAAAAAAAAAATTAAATAAATAAATAAAAGAATGATGACTAAGGAGATCCAGCTTTTGATTCTTGGGAATCTCAAACATTAGGAAAGGTCTAATAAAAGTCTAATAAATTCTTTAATTGCTCAGAAGGTCAATAATAGAAATAAAGGAAGTTACAAGTAAAATATAGACTAAAATTTAACATAAATTAAATATTTTTAACAAGAAATCAAAATGGCAAAAAAGTGAAAAGAAATTTTCATCCACAAGAAAGAGAATTGCTCCAAAATAATGGAACTTCTGAAAAAGTGAATCTTATTGTTCTGCTAGAAATGGAAGAGCATCAAATGCTTTGGCCAAATGTGTTCTCCTGATATTAGGTTTGAAAAGGATGACCCCTCCCAAATATCAAAGGATTTGCAGAAGTGGCTGCTCTCTTGTGTGTTATACATCAGTTGGCCTCTTTGCTCGAAATCCCCATCTTCTAGATTTCTGGCAGCACGTTTAAATAATCATTTTTCATAAAGAATCTATCAAAGTCATTGCCATGCATTAACTCTAACCCCAATTGATAAAATATTACATTTTTAATGAATGAACCCTCCTTTTCCAACAGTCACCCTTAATTCTCCATAATTAAATATTAAAATGAGCAAAATGTAGGGATTTAAAATTGCCCAACCTAAAAGAAATTGAGATAGAGCTCTGATCCAATGGCACTTGATTGAAAGGTCCATGGCCTTCTCTAATGAAATGGACCTCTGATCAACCTCAGTATCTGAGATGCTCCCTTCATCCTGGGCCTTAGTTTGGTAGTCCCTGATATCCAGACAATACAGGTAGAACAGACCAAATTTTAAGTGTATTTTACATTATAGGTAGATCTGCCCTTAGCTGGTCAAACAGCCCAATTATCCTCCTGGGATCTGACTTTAAATGAGCCCACATTCTGTAAGGTATAAGAAGTTATGTTTCCACACATGCAGAGGAAGTGATACTAATAACAGAATTCAGAAGTTGTCACAGGGGCAGAAGGAGCATAAGAATTACTTTTAACAATTCTTAACACAGACAGACAAAAACCTGTGGATGTTAGTAGTGTGGTTAGGAGTGGTGAGAAGTAGGATAAAGGTTACAAATTGTTCAAAATGCGCATGCTTAATAAGGCTATGAATATTATCTTCTCCTGGGGGGGGAGGGCATGAGGATTAACACAATTTTAGGCCAATCTTGTATGTAGAGGGAGGGACCTGGCCTCTCTGGACAGGAATATATAAATATAAATATAAATAGCTTGCTTTCCCTTCTGTAGGGTGTCTGCCTCTAGCAGCACAACTGCTTCTTGGGAGAACATATAATAAATGAGCTTGCCTCATCTACCTCGGGAGTCTTTGTTTTTTCTGTAGAAGTTATTCCTAACAAACCTAATTTAAAATAGGAGAAATGTGCTAACGAAACTGATTGCATTTTGTGAACAACCTCCATTCTGAAACTAAACTCTGTTTAGCTGTGAATCACTTGTTTGTCTGGAATTCTGCAGGCTGTCTCTTCCGTGCTCTCCCCCTTCCACCTCCTAAAGTCATGAATCTTTCCTCCAATAAGAAATGTGATGATGGAGGCATGGAGGAGGAGGAGCTCTGTGAGACCACTAGCCTGGTGGGTGGTGGCTCAGGTGGAACAGGAGCTCTGGGGTGGAGTTTGGAGGCCTGGGAGGAGTCTAGGGCGGAAGAGGGCTCATTCCAGTGGCTAAGGCATTTCGGGTGATGAAGGGCAGAGCTTGTGGAGGAGAGGCAGAACGGGACCCTATCACTTGGCCCTGGGTGTGATTGGAAGAAACAGCGCTTCCTGGAGGCCTCAGAGGCTGGGCAGAGGGTGGGAGGACCCTCCCAGAGTGGGCTGGCTGAAAACAGGAACTTTTGTCCTGAGATTGCTCTGCCTTCTTCCCTTGCCGCTGAACTATTTCCGCCTTCCCTGCAACCGAGATCTCTGCCTTCTTCCCTCGGAATTGAGATCTCTCTGCCTTCCCTTAGAGCAGAGATCACACGGCCTTCACTTGGACCCTAGATCTGTGCCTTCTGGACACCAGCTCTGTGGGGGCAGGTCCCAGGTAGGTCTGAGCTAACCCCTGACAGACCTGCTGGCTTCTGCTGACTCTGTACTCTTGGGTCTCATCCTTGTCCCCTGACCATGTGGTGAGCGCCCTTCAGGTCCACCTGGAGCAATCCCCAGTCCCTACCCTGGCTACTGGGCAAGGTTCTCACTGCTAACTCTTTTCCAGACTCCCAATCACTCCCCATAAGTGTGGGGTCACCCTCCCCCCAATTTAAACTTGGGTCACCTTTCCCCAAAATTGAAACCTTATCCACAGGGACCCAGGAATCCTGTCTTGAGTGAAAGGCTTGAGTGAACCCCGAAATGCAAGGATAAAGGGCGTGGATCTACTTCAAAAGAATTGGGCTACTCAAGCCTTCTTTCAGACAGAGACAAAGTTTATTGTGTCACCAATAGAAACGGGCAGATTTTAAGAATCTGTGCATTTGGTAGAGGCAAGACTAACTTTTTTGTAGGGTAAAAAATTGTGGGAAGATTTGGGCTGGGATCTAGGGCAGGTAAATAGCTTGGAGTGATATAGAGGTAACAGAGAAGGGGTCTCGATGGGGATAAGGGGTGGGGAGTAGCTGGGGATGATCCATAGATAACAGACAAGGAAGGGGCCACAATGAAAGGACAGTTGAAAGAATTATTGAGTATCTAGGTGGAGATGTGTGGGAAAGTTCTGGAGCAGCGTTGCTCTTTTGGGGTCCAGGTCCCATACCCCATCAGAGGGAGATCACAGATTCAGGAGCCATTGAGGCTCTGACTGGTCTCATCCCATCTGGATTCCAAGCTCTTTCTGCCTCTTGGTTCTCTGAAGGAGAATGGGGGAAAGGAAAGGGACAGAAGAGAAGGAGTTGGAGAGGCTTTGGCTATCTTTTCCAAGCCTGATCCAACCTGTAAGTTGCATTCTCTGCCCTGAGGGCAGGGCCTCATCCTCTGTAAATTCCTATAGGCTAGCCTCCTGCCCTGGAATCCTTCTCCCTCCTCAGCTCAGTTTGCTGAAGACCAAGGCCTGGCCCAAGCAGGGAGCCACGAGACAGAAGGAATGGCCCCTGGGAGCTGTAGACCCCTACCTCAGGTGAGTGTACTCTGTCTACAGACTTTACCAACCTCAACAAAAAGGCCATTTCCACAGACAAAGAGGATAGTCTATGAGGCTGGCAATCCCCTACCTATGGATTGTTTCTTTACAAAAATGGGCAGGAAATTGAAAACAGTAGTAACAATACCACCCCATTCTCTCCTTCTATATTTTGAATTGATTCATGGCACTTTGGCATCACAAGCACTAACCACCTTCCAACCCCCTAATTGCTTCCCTACCAGTGTCATTTTATTTTGTTAAATTTTCCCTTATGATTCCTGAGACACAAGGATGACCACTTCACTCATTCCTGTTCTGTAGAGGTCCTGTCTTTATGCTCCTTTATGCATGCCTAGCACCCCTCCTCCTCATATCCATAGAACTGCTTCCCCCTCCCCTTTGATTTTTTGGCCAAGCTCTCCCTGCCAGACCTTGACAAGATGCTCTGCTTATCCTCCAGGGTCTGAGCTGCACAAACAGTTGAAATGTCTGGTGCACATTCACTGTCTTCATAGCTGGTTTGACTTTCAAGGGCACACTGAGAGGGCAGTGAGGGTTAAAAGGGACAAATACTGTGAGCTGGGGCTTGGGATGTTCCTGGCATCCTGCATCCTCTGGTCCAGTGTTTTTGGGAAAATATGGCAACTCAAGAAAACAGGTGAAGTCAGCTTCTGGGTCACATTCACATGTTCAAAGACCCTTACCAGAGTTATTGGGACCAGGCCAAAGAAAGGGATACCTTCTTTAGCTGTTAATTGATTAGCATTTGTTAAGCACCTACTACTTCCCTTGTTAGAGAGGATATAGGAAAGGACTGAGTTTGGGAACTATTCAAAGTTCTGGCAGTTTTCTTTTCCAATAGGGGAAAGGGGGATACTGAAAAAGACACTTAGTTCTCATCAATGAGCTATCAGGCTCAAAGGCAAAGACATAATGGAGTGACTTACTTTCTCCTGAAAATCTGCTTTTGACCATCTTCAGAACAACCCTGTATAGTAGGTGTTCTTCTCTATTTCACAGTTCAGGAAACTGAGGCAAACAGAGTTTCAGTGACTTGCCAACCAGGATCACATAACTAGTAAGTGTTTGAGGCAGAATTTGAACTCAGATCTTCATGATCTCCTACCATTTCATAGCTCCATCAAAGTTGTATTCATGTGCCCATCTTCCCACAACTCCTCCAACATTGACTGCTGCTATTTGTCATTTTTGTCAATTTTGCAGAATATGAGATGAAACCTCAGTGCTGGTTTGGTTTTTATGTTTCTCTTAGTGGTTTGGAGCCTTTTTTCATGTGGTTGGGAATACTTGGCAGTTCTTTTGAGAATTTTTTGTTCCTATCCTTTGACCATTTATCTATTGGGGAACGACTATTTGTTTTTCATTTGCTTCAGTCATGTCTGGCTCTTTGTGATACTCATTGGCATTTTCTTGGCAGAGATATTAGAATCGTTTGCCATTTCTTTCTCCAGCTCATTTTACATAGGAGGAACTGAGGCAAATATGCTTAAGTGACTGGCCCAGGGTCTCATTGCTAGTGTTTGAGGCTAAATTATAACTTGGATCTTTCTGACTCCAGGCCTGGAGCTCTATCTACTGTGCCACCTAGTTGCCATTGACAATTAGTCTTTTTTTAAATAGTATTTCATTTTTCCCCAATTACATATAAAAAAACATTTTTTTTATTCCTAAAATTTGAGGTCACAATTCTCTACCTGCCTCCTTCCTCTTACCTCTCCTGCATATGGTAAGCAATCAGAAACAGGTTATACATAAGCAATCATGTAAAGCATTTCCATATTAGTCATTTTGTGAAAGAAAACTTGAACCATAAAGAAAGAAAGAAAGTGAAAAATAGTATGATTTAGGTTTGCATTCTGACTCAATTAGTTTTTCTATGGAGGGGAATTGCATTTTTCATCATGAGTCCTTTGGGATTGTCTTAAATAATGGTATTGCTGAGGATAGCTCAGTTATTCATGGTTCATCATATAGTATACCTTGCACAGTATTCTTCTGGTTCTGCTTACTTCACTCTGCATCAATTCATGGAAGTTTTTCTAGGTATTTCTGAAATCATCCTGCTTGGCATTTCTTATAACACTATGGTATTCTGTTTCATTCATATACTACAACTTGTAAAGACATTCCCCAATTAATGGCCTTCTCTTCAATTTCCAACTCTTTGCCACCACAAAAAGAGCTATTACATAGGTCCTTTTCTCTTTTTTAAAAATCTTTTTAAAAATAATTAATTTATTTATTTTTAGTTTTCACCATTGGCTTCCATAAGATTTTGAGTTTTAAACTTTCTTTCCTTCCCTTTCCTCCCCACTCCCCAAGATGACAGGCAATCTGATATAGGCTCTACTTATATGTTCATATTAAGCATATTTTCACATTAGTCATAATGTATAGAATAATTTTTTTAAAGTCTTTTGTGGATGACTTAGTAATGCTATTGCTGGGTCAAAGGGTATGCACAGTTTTATAGCCCTTTGAGTATAGTTCCAAATTGCTCTCCAGAATGGTTAGATCAGTTCACAAATCCAACAACAGTGCATTATTGTCCCAGTTTTCCTACTTCCCTCCAATATTTATTATTTTTCCTTTTCTGTTTCTTAGTCAATTAAATAGATGTGAGGTGGTAACCCAGAGTTGTTTAAATTTGCATTTGAGAATTTTTCTATGACTATAAATAGCTTTGATTTCTTTGTCTGAACTGCCTGTGCACATCCTTTCACCATTTATTAATTGAGTCATGACTTGTGTTCTTGCAAATTTGACTCAGTGTTCTGTATATTAGAGAAATTAGGCCTTTATCAGAGATAATTGTTGTAAATATTTTTCCCAATCGTCAGCTTTCCTTCGAATCTTGGTTGCATTGATTTTGTTTCTGCAAAAAACCCTTTTTAATTTAATACAGTCAAAATTATCCATTTTACATCTAGTGATACAGTTTTTGGGTGAGTTCATTCCATTCATATTTATAGTTATGATAACTAACTGTATTTCCTTCCATCCTGTTTCCCCTTATCTCTCTCCCTCTCTTTCTGTCCCTCTCTGTCTCTCTGCCTGTCTCTTCTCCCACCTTTTATCCTGTCTCTCCTCACCAGGGTTTTGATTCTGACCAATGCTTCCCCCAATCTGCCCGTCTTTCTATCAGTCCCTCCGCCCTTATCCTTGTCCCTTTTTACTTCCCCATAGTCTGAGATAGATTTCTATACCCATCTCAGCATGTATGTTATTCCCTCCTTGAGCCAATTTTGAAAGGAGTAAGGCTCAAGCCCTCCATTCCCACCACCCCCATCTTCCCCTTCACTATAATAGCTCTTCTTTGCCTCTTTTATGTGAGATAATTCACCTCTTTCTCACTCCTTAACTGTGTTTTCTTGAATATCATCCCATCATAGTCAATGTATGCTGTCAATGTATACTCCTTCTAATTGCCCTAATCATCATAAAAGTCTTAAGAGTTACAGGTATCATCTTCCAATGTAGGAATAGAAAGAATTTAACCTTATTGAATCTCTTCTGTTTTCTCTTTCCTGTTTACCTTTTGATGCTTCTCTTGGGTCTTGTATTTGAAGATCAAATTTTTTGTTCAGCTCTGGTTCTTTTCCTTAGGAATATTTGATTGTTCTCTATTAAAAGTCCATTTTTTTCTCCCATGAAGAATTATACAGTTTTTTTGTGTATGTGATGGTTGGTCATAATCCTAGTTCTTTTGTCTTACTGAATATCATATTGCACACCCTCTGATTTTTTTAATGTAAAAGCTACTAACTTTCACACTAGCCTGACTGTGGCTTCATGACATTTAGGTTGCTTCTTTCTGGTTGCTTATATTTATTTCTCCTTGACCTGGGAACTCTGGAATTTGGCTATGATGTTCCTGGGAGGTTTCATTTTGAGATCTTTTTTAG